GGGCTGAGTAGGCAAAAAATGCTGAGCGGAGCATTTTCAGCAGCCTGGCCAACTGGTTCCTCTTAGGGCTGGGCGATGTGGCCTAAAAATCATCTTCTTTTTTTACTTTTTTTTTTTTACTTGGGCAATTCATGATATATATCTCTATTTTTTATATTGTCTGTAAATAAGCTTTGTTGTACAATTTAAAGGTAAAATACACTGCATTTCAAACAGTCAGCAATAATCTAATGAATTCAGGGCTTGTGAAATTATACATAGGCTAAATATGACACACTAATAATAATAAAGTAGTTCAATCTGCTTTTTCTTTACAATAATCACTGGTCTGGCTTTCAAGTCTGTCTATGAAAATGCCCTTTTTGTTAGACATTTTACCAGAACCATGCATCTTGTAGCAGGCATTAGCTATAGAAAATGAACACCGCTAGGTCTCATAAACAATCTGTCAAGCACATGCCCACGTGCTAGTGAGTAGCCAGATAATCTTTGTATTTCAAGTTCAGCCAACTTGGATCTATTTGCTAGCTAAGACGGTAGAACAGTTGAATTGTTATGAACGCACCCTTCTGTCCATCTCCAACTGTTTGAACAGCATGCTAGTCTGTCGACTTTGTTCAGATGTTGACATCAAGTGGCCTATCTTATTTCTTAGAATGAGAATGAGTTGCCAATTCCTTATATAAAAGTTTTCATTAATGCTCATTGCACATTTTATAAAACACAGACTAGACAGCTAGTATAACAGTCTGTGGCTAAAATTCTGCTAGTGGTACGTGATACCGCAATGCCATGCGCGACAAACTGGGCATTCGTTTTCCAGAATGAATGTTAATTGATACCCCGTTTTAGGGGGCTGCTCTTCGCGCAGTTTGAGGCATTGAGACAAAAGGGGTATAGTTAGAAAGGTTAAGGTATCCTCAATTACAGTAAAAGGATGTCTCAATGTGTTCGGTGTCCTATTTCACTAATCCTCAAATGCAAATAGCGAGTTGAAACCACTTGTTAGAGAGGAAGAGAAGAAGTGATCTTTCATCTTTTGTTGTTCTGAGTGGCAGGGGGAGGAGCTTGGTGTGTGTAAATGGGAAGGTGCACAGTCACAGCAGAAGGAGCGAAGGAGACGAGACCAAAAGACATTACAACAAGCGAAGAAAAAAGAGCTACATTCTTGCATTTGGAGTATCGTGCTAAAATGTTAATTAAATTAATTTGATGTATTGCCCAGCCATACTACTTCTCATGTTTGAGAGTTTTTGAGTTTTGGGGTGCAGAATTGGAATCCTGTCAGAGGCAGTTTGAGGCTGTTTACGTAGTCTAAGCATCAGTGCTAGGAGTGTCTGGTATTGTTCTCTGGGGGGGAAATGTATGTAGTGCAGCTACCAATGACTCACTAAGACTCAAGTCCAAGCATCTGTTTTTTTGTCTTTGTGCTCATGTGTGCTTTAAGTCAAGTGGGAATTAAACAGAGTCCCAACCAACATTGGAGAATTTCAGTGTTTTTTTATTTATTTTAATTTTTTACAAGTGAGTTTGTTGTCAATGTGAACTACACATTTTGTGAGCGTCATCGATTTAGCTTACAGTTATCAAAGCAGTTGACTCGACATGTCTATTCTTAACATTGACTGGTGAATGTGTTTTTGTGCTTGTCAAGATGACATTACAGTAGCCCTTTTGCAGAAAGTAGCCTGAGTGACTGAGTGTTTAGGGCGGCCTTGTACACTCTCCAAGGTACACAAGTGTGAAAATCAGTTCCTTGTTTGACAGGTAGCCCCGAGGTGTGGTTCACCCATTGAGCTGTTTTGATGTGAGCCATAGCAATGATGTTTTCATGCATACAAAGTTTGTAAAGCCCTGATTCTAATGTGCCAGCACATTTTATAGGGCACAGTTTACGACACTAATTGAACATGGCCAACATTATGGTTTCCAGATGTGACAGGGTAAACATGATTCAGAGCACTGGTGGATGTTTTATTCTAGAGCATATTGTGTCACCACCTGAATTAATTCAATACAGATGATATTGAAATCAAGTGTTTCGGATCTCTTAAGTCTTTCGTTTCTCCGAATGAATCTGTATTGATTCAGTGTGTGTATTGATTCAGAATGTGTATATCATTGACAATCAATGTTTTAAGCAATTGGACCTAAATAAAGTTGACATGTTATGGACATGGATCACTTCACTATTGATGGTGATCTGTTCAGTGTTATAGATTGACATTTTGTCTCTGTTAATTTTTCAGTGGTGTCTGTGATGCTGTCCGCCACCTTTTCTCTGGCAGACATTTGTGTTTTGGAATGCAGGCGACAGCATCTCTGCCGCCCCCCCCCCCCCCCGCCCTCTCTCTCCCAGTTGCAGGAGGCTGTGGCCTCTCCTGCTGCCAGTCAGTCTCTCTGGGTTAAAACCTGCTCCCTCCAGCCTCTTCTCAACCCGCAGACTGGTTTAAACCAGTTCTCATGGAAGTGCTTTGTGTCTCCCATGGAATCTTGGGAAGGGTAATGTGGAGCTCTGCTCTGGTGATGTCATAGTGGATGAGAAAGACCTTGAGTCAGCCTTCTTTATCTGATGGTAGAAGTGTGTACACTCAGGTGGCCTATACAGTGGCTTCCCTGATTTATCATTTACAACCTCTATAAGGGGAGAGATGAGGCAATTATATTTACTTAAGGGGAGACTGCAGACTAGAAGTGCTAGAGTCAGCAGGCTTGAAAGGAGATAAGAGTAGGCCTAATGGGCTTCCAAATCCCCTCTGCCCCCCCTTCCCTGTACTCCAACTCGAGTCCAGAACACACACACACACACACACACACACACACACTGTCAAGTACACACTGAACTCTGATTCTTGTTTCATTTCATAACCTGTGCGTCTGTGAGATATTTGCACGTCTGTGTGACTGTATGCTTTATCCATGGTGTAGTGTCATAGTTGTGGGTCAGGCTGATGTTCAAGCTGAGTGGGTCTCCCTCCGTCTCCATCCTCTGCCATTACTTTAATGATGGGGGATTTGGGTCAGCATCTGGGGAGCTGGCACTCGGAGACAGGCCTGTGCTGCAGTCAGGTCAGTCAGACAGAGAGCACTACTATCCAGTACAGCTGGAGGAATTACTGACCGGTCCGCTACCACACGTCCACACATATGGTGCCCCAATTAGCATTTAGGCCTAGATTTGTGCAGTTTTCATTGGTCAAGTGCCTTACTGTTGAATTGGTCCTGTGGTTTTTATCCTCCCACAGTGGTTTTTGCATTGCATGACCACTCATCATTATCAGCCAGTGTTCAACTTCCATCTCATCTTGGGGTGGTGCGATGCTACTGAAGCCTGACACAGACCTGTGTGTTTGTACACTACCATTCAAAAGTTTGGAGTCACTTAGAAATGTTCTTGTTTTCCATGAAAACATACATGAAACGAGTTTGAATAGGAAATATAGCAAAATGAATAGGAAATGTAGTCATTGACAAGGTTAGAAATAATGATTTTTAATTGAAATAATAATTGTGTCCTTCAAACTTTGCTTTCGTCAAAGAATCCTCCATTTGCAGCAATTACAGCCTTGCAGACCTTTGGCATTCTAGTTGTCAATTTGTTGAGGTAATCTGAAGAGATTTCACCCCATGCTTCCTGAAGCACCTCCCGCAAGTTGGATTGGCGTGATGCGCACTTCTTACGTACCATATGGTCAAGCTGCTCCCACAACAGCTCAATAGGTTTGAGATCCGGTGACTGTGCTGGCCACTCCATTATAGACAGAGTACCAGCTGACTGCTTCTTCCCTAAATAGTTATTGCATAGCTTGGAGCTGTGCTTTGGGTCATTGTCCTGTTGTAGGAGGAAATTGACTCCAATCAAGCGCCGTCCACAGGGTATGGCATGGCGTTGCAAAATGGAGTGATAGCCTTCCTTCTTCAAGATCCCTTTAACCCTATACAAATCTCCCACTTTACCACCACCAAAGCACCCCCAGACCATCACATTGCCTCCACCGTGCTTGACAGATGGCCTCAAGCACTCCTCCAGCATCTTTTCATTTGGTCTGTGTCTCACAAATGTTCTTCTTGGTGATCCGAACACCTCAAACTTCGATTCATCTGTCCATAACACTTTTTTCCAATCTTCCTCTGTCCAGTGTCTGTGTTATTTTACCCGTTTTAATATTTTATTTTTATTGGCCAGTCTGAGATATATAGCTTTTTCTTTGCAACTCTGCCTAGAAGGTCAGCATCCCGGAGTCGCCTCTTCACTGTTGACGTTGAGACTGGTGTTTTGCGGGTACTATTTAATGAAGCTGCCAGTTGAGGACCTGTGAGGCGTCTGTATCCTCTTGCTCCGTTGTGCACCAGAGCCTCCCACTCCTCTTTCTATTCTGGTTAGAGCCAGTTTGCGCTGTTCTGTGAAGGGAGTAGTACACAGCGTTGTACGAGATCTTCAGTTTCTTGGCAATTTCTCGCATGGAATAGCCTTCATTTCTCAGAACAAGAATAGACTGACGAGTTTCAGAAGAAAGTTATTTCTGGCCATTTTGAGCCTGTAATCGAACCCACAATTGCTGACGCTCCAGATACTCAACTAGTCTCAAGAAGGCCAGTTTTATTGCTTCTTTAATCAGCACAACAGTTTTCAGTTGTGCTAACATAATTGCAAAAGGGTTTTCTAATGATCAATTAGCCTTTTTAAAATGATAAACTTGGATTAGCAAACACAGCGTGCCATTGGAACACAGGACTGATGGTTGCTGATAATGGGCCTCTGTACGCCTATGTGTATATATTCCATTAAACATCAGCCGTTTACAGCTACAATAGCCATTTACAACATTAACAATGTCTACACTGTATTTCTGGTCAATTTGTTATTTTAATGGACAAAAAAATTGCTTTTCTTTTGAAAACAATGACATTTCTAAGTGACCCCAAACTTTTGAACTGTAGTGTATATCCATATCTTTAACCCCCCCCCCGTCTCTCGTTCTGTGTCCCCAGGTAGAGCGATGTCGGAGGAGGCGGTGCGTCAGACGCGCAGCCAGAAGCGGGCCTTGGAGAGGGACGTGGTGGCCCCTGGCAGTCCCGGGGGGGAGCAGGACATTAAGAAGGTGAAGCTGGAGAACTGTGACCTGCCACCTGCAGCAGATGGCCCTATAGCTCCAGTGGCTTTGGGAGGAGGAGATGTGGTGAAGATGGAGCAGGCAGCCAAGGTGGCCAGCATGAGCATCCTGAAGACCGGCGAGGTCAAGGCTACCATCAAAGTGGAGGTGCAGACTGGGGACGGGCCTGTCGACATGAGCACGTCCAAGAGGTAAGAAGAACACTGATTACACACGCTGTGTAAACCTACACTCTTTCTGGCTGTACGTTTGAACAAGGCCTAACTGGACTATGGTCCCTCAGACGCCGTCTATTTTTGTTAATAACATTACCATCACACTCTGGATTCAGATTTCGTTTTAGAATGTTGCTCTAAAATGTAATTTTTCCTATCTGGAATGTGCATGTTTACAATATGATGGCTTGTCTCTGAGTCTGCACAGGGTACATTTTGGTGACTAGGGAATGTAGTGTTTTGACTGGAAATTGACATTTGCTTGGAAAGCAAGTTTGCCTTCAAATACCATTTTAAAAGTAGAACATTGTTAATCCAGAAAGGCAAATATGGGATGATGTCGATAATGTCTTGAATTGATTATCCAGATGTTAAGAACGTTTTTGGTTAATTTTGGAAGTTGTATTTATCTACTGAGGCAGTATGCGAGAGAGGCCTTGTCCAGATCTTCAGATATGGTTGGGTTAAAATTAGTAATGAGGATGGTCATGTGCTGTTGTTGATGGTGGGTGGGGTGGGGTGGGGTGGGGGGGGGGGGGGGGGGGGGTTGTGGAAAAAAAGTTGTACTCTTTGACAGTGTGTGTTGCAATGACTGTGTGTAGGTGTGTTTGAACTGCTGTCTGCCTTAGCTAGCAAGTGGGCTTCTCACACAGGAAGTGCGTGTGTGCTCCCTCTGTTCCGGGTGGCCTGCCCCCATTTTGAAAAGTCAGACGCTCCGGCTGATAGGCTCCATTTTCTCCAGCACCTGAACTCTGCCTCACTTCATACAAAATGAAGGCTATGTGTCACAAACTGGTTCCAGCCGGCCGTTGCCATGGTTTCCACTTTGGAAGGAGCAGTTGGGGGAAGGAGGGGCTGTTGTTGAGTGGGTGTGTCACATGACCAGGGCAGGGAAATGTCTGATGTCATGATGTGATCTCTTCACTTGGTAGAGTCATTAATATACACTGGAAGTGAGAGCAGTAGTAAGCAAGGAAGATAGCTGCCAAGGAAGGGCTTTTTAGTTATGTATCGTAGAAGTTCGCCCTCATGTCACCTTTGCCCTTTTCTTCACCCTAAGCCTGTGCTGCTATAGTTTCCATGTTTTTTGTAGAACTTTTAGTGTTTGCAGAGGAGATCTAGCATTTTGAGGCAACTGTTTCAGAAATGGGTTGCAGAGTGGTAGAATATGCATTGCTTTCCAATGTCATTGAATTAGAAAGATATATTAAAACACTTTATTTTGGCTAGATAGACCTTTATAGACTAGAGCAAATGGTTGATGACATTTGTCTATGTCCAGTTTCATGAATATTGGTTTGTACCAATACCTACCTCACATGATGTTACTCTTTCAGTGGAAGTGTGAGTCAATACTGCAGAGTATTCTAGAGAAGTAGTAGCTTGTAGAAACAGAAGCAGTGGCCACTGGATCTTATGTAACCACATACTTGGCTTTTGTTTATGCTTGTCTAATCAGCTTTCATGGTGGAGGAGATCGCCTTGTCACCACATATATAATAACCCTCGCTTTGCCCATTGCCAGGGCTAGGAGTTTCTCCTGGTTAGGTTGTGTGTGACTGTGTGGTCCTATCCATTGGTTTACTTTTTGCCCTACTTGGTCCATTGCTTTACAAGCCCTCTGTATCACCAGCTGTGGATGGTGTGACTGTAAACCATAGCTACCGTATCTCTCTCTGCCTGCCCTCTAAACTGAACGAGGCCTCAGCCCTGTTACCACCGCAGGGCCCTGGGATGTTTTGCACCAGCCAGGGAGACTGTGTCGTCGTTGATATGCCTGTGTCCTACCCTCTGCATCGTAGTCCAAGACACACACACAGTCAGTCGGTCAGTGAATGAGTGAGTGAGGGTGTATACAATAGGCTGGCTCCTGGCCACGTTCCCCTCCCCCACCCCTCTCTCTCTCTCCCCTCCAGTGTCTCCCGCGGGCCTCTGCTCTGCGACTCTGGTGTCAGCAGCTGGGAGGGGTGGGGCCCCAGGCACAGCTACTGTCCGTACAAAGAGTCAACGTGCCCCCCCCCCCCCCCCCCCACCACCTCCATCTACCCACCTCACACACACCAACCTCACTCCCCCACTGGGTACGAGCGGGACGCCTGCTGTGTAGGGGCCGGCGAGCTATCTCCTCCATCGGCCTTTCACTCCCCCTCTCTGTCACAGGCTCCACGCTGCATACCGCTACTCCTCTTTGTCCTCCACAGGCTGGAGGAAACAACAGCTAGCTACAGCCACAGAGGGAGCTATGAGGCCAGGTCTAATCGCACAGCCGGCCTAGGCCTACAACTTGTAGCTCGGGCCTAGAAGCTCACGTATTTTGGCTCTGTTTTGAATGCATTTTCTCCTCTTATATTCCAGTTGTAAGGAGTTGGAGTCTGCTTGCTATTCAGACAGGGCTCTGAAAAGCGCTCCCACTCCGCCATGATGGCTCTATTGATCGCAGATCAATTTGGGTGTCCCACCACTACTGCTCACTCATAGACCACTGAAATGTTATCATTTACCGCCCTCTACTGGACACATCTTGCTACTGTATGTTTTTGCATACACGCTCAAGTGGCTCTCATTTGCTAGGTGATTAGTGTTGTATGATCACACTCAAATTAATTTCCAAAATGTGTGAGGAGAGGGATTGTCACTCAAGGGGGGTTTTGCTCTCCATATGTTTTATTTTGCCTAGTAGAGTTTAGTTGTATAAAGTAGTTAATTGTTTGTTTCTCTCTCTTCTCCCAGTGAAGTAAAGAAAGAGAAGCATCCCCTGTCACCAAACAATGACGTCATAGTGCTGTCAGACAACGAGCCGTCCAGCCCCGTCATGAACGGCTTGAACCACTTCAGGAAGACAGACACTGACCTGCTCATGGTACGACCTGACACACACACACACACACACACACACACAGCGACTCCTCTCCTTTGTACTACTCACAATGTTTCTTTATCTATTAATTAAATTAAAATGTAATTGTGTGTATGACCCCCTGCTGTCTTCCCTTGTGTAGAAGAGCAGGCCAGATGAGAGGGAGCGCATCATCAAACAGTTGATGGAGGAGCTGAGACTACAAGAGGCCAAGCTGGTGCTGCTGAAGAAACTACGACAGAGCCAGACACAGAAGGAGAGCACTGTACAGAAGGTATCTAAAGAAATGGCCATGCACACACACACTGTTTCCGCTAAACTCCTAGATTGCCATCAATAGTCTGGTCTCTCTCGCTCCTCCAGCCAACCTCTGGCTCTGTAGCCACTCCTCCACCTCTGGTCAGAGGCAGCATGACATCAGGCAAAGGACCGCTACAGGTACAGACAGCTACTGCTCACCACCACTACACAATGCAATCATACGTATCTACATTACTGTTATTGTGTACAGCACATTCACACTCATTGTAATAGTATATCAGTGCATCCATTCAACCACTAAGCACATTCAAGCTCTCTGTACTAGCTTGTTGTCAGTGTATCTGTTCAACCATGCTGTGCTGTCAGAGGTAATCACACGCAGTTAGCTGTGACACACTACAGCTGATGTGAAATGGCTCTGTTTTGCATCTACTTTATGTGACTTGACAGAACGATTTAAATATGACATGACAGGGACTGGCCACTTGCCAGCAAATGTCAACACTGATCATGTGATATCAGCAAATCTCGTTGCCATTAAATCATGATTTAGCCAAAGGTCTGAGGTACACGTGGGGATCTTGAGTTGGGAATCTTCCCTCATAGTATGGGTTCGTCATGTGGTTGTTTTGAGTTTAAACCCGGTTGTTGTTGTGTCCAGGTGTCGTCAGTCCGTAGCTCAGGCACAGTGATCCCTCCTCCATTGGTCCGGGGTGGGCAGCATGTCCCGTCCAAGCAGAACTCCCAGACCATCATGCCACCCCTGGTCAGAGGGGCGCAGGTAACTTATACTCTGGTACTTACCTTTTTAAACATACATTTGTTGTCTGTTGAGAATGCCCCTTTGGTACTTGTGCAATGTGAGTTATTAATAAGAGTTCTACATTCTCTGCATGATCAGTGTATATTTTCAGAATATGTTTTTATGCTACTTTCATGCTTTCAAAACAAATTCCTTGGATGTGAACTCTCTGCAACTAATAGACCAAATGCATAACACATAGTTGGTTTTACACGCAAAGCGCTTGTCAGTCTTTTCTAGTAAATTCATTTTACAATGATATGGATATTCTGTTTATCTTCTCTCAATCTCCGCTCTCTCTCTTGCCTCTGTCCCTCTCCCTGTGTGTGTGACTCCCCCCTTCCCCTCCCTTATGTCCATGCCGTACCCTATCTGCCTGTGTGTGTGACGTTGTCAGCCCATCGCGGTGTCTCCCCAGCAGATTGCGTCCCTGCGGCAGCAGCAGCAGCAGCAGCAGCAGCAGCAGCAATCTGGGTCTGGCCCCCCTCCCCTGCTGCTGGCCCCCAGGGCCTCTGTCCCCAAAGTCCAGGTGCAGGGCCAGAGGATCATCCAGCAGGGCCTCATCAGGGTGGCCAACGTCCCCAACACCAACGTCCTGGTCAACATACCACAGGTCAGACCACACTCTATCACCCAGGACAGTCAGAAACACAGGTCACTAACGTACTGGCCAGCATCTTACATTGAGACCCCTTCGACTCCCAACAGCATTACTTTTCCATCTCTTTTCATCCTGTTTAATATGTGTGTCTGTTCCACAGGGCTCTCAGAAGGGCTCGTCCGTGATGTCCCAGGCCGGGATGGGCAGCATCGTGTCCACGGTCCAGGCCAACGAGTCCCCGGCCGCTCGCCAGGCAGCCGCCAAGCTGGCTCTGCGTAAGCAGCTGGAGAAGACCCTGCTGGATATCCCTCCTCCCAAACCTCCCACCCCCGAATTCAACTTCCTGCCGTCAGCAGCCAACAACGAGTTCATCTACCTGGTGGGCCTGGAGGAGGTGGTGCAGAACCTGCTGGATACACTGGGACGGGGTGGGTTTATATTTTCATTCAGAAATATTGATTCCTTACATCAGCAGTTTATAAGCTCTTTATGGTAGTAGTAGTAGCTAATCTCTTAGTTATTTTCATTCTTGCTGTATTTGAAAGCTGCTGGCAAAAGGTACGTAATACTGACATGTCACTTTTCTGTGTTTCTCTCAGGCAAGCAACAGGGTCAGTCTGTTGCCCCGGAGACCCCCGTCCCTGAAGAGCCACACACCTGCGCCCAGTGCAAGACGGACTTCACGTCGCGCTGGCGCTCGGAGAAGAGCGGCCCCGTTCTGTGCGACCACTGCATGTCGTACAACCTGAAGAAGGCCCTGAAGGCGGAGCACACCAACCGGCTGAAGGCGGCCTTCGTCAAGGCCCTGCAGCAGGAGCAAGAGATAGAGCAGCGCATCCTCCAGCAGGCTGCCTCCCCAGTCTCCAAAACACCCTCCTCTTCCTCGGGGATGAAGAGCGAGCACCAGCAGCACGTGCTGGTTTCACAGCAGTACAAGCAGGCCAGAGCCCAGCTTCAGCACCAGCATAGAGGCACGCCTGTGGCCCGCCACCACTCCTCCATCAAGCAGGTCAGCACTGGGACACAACACTACCGCTACACACTACTAACTCATACAAAAGGGGAAGCTTGTCTGGTGTACATTTTCTGATACCTTAAAAAAAACTGTGGCATCCTTTTTAATTCTATTAACACATTGGGTCACGTTGGTTAATGACTAATGTTCAAGTTTTCTCCCTCCTCCCTCTCTCAGAGCCCTGGTCAGCTGTCCCGTAGTGGTCAGCAGGCGGTGGGGTCTCGTGGTGTCACTCACTCGTTCCCCACGTCCTCTCAGCAGCTGCAGAACGCTGTAACTGCGGCCACGCTGGTCAGCAGGTCAGGTAAGCATGCCATGCGCCCGGCGCAAGGGGCAAAGGGCAGCAGCGGCAGCAGTAACCCCTCGGCCAACCCCAACACCTGGAGGAAGCAGACCACAGGGAACTCAGGTAGATGAACCTCTACAGGACAGAGACAAGACCCTGTCCTCACCTGCACACCATGTTGCTCTCCCTCTTTTTTTCCCCTTTCTCTCTTCTCTCCCTCCCTGGCGACCTAAAATACATTATAGTGTCACGAAAGGTTGTGGAAGGTGCATTACTACCTCAATGGGTGACTTAGTCTGATATGTAGATTGGCTTTAGCTAGCTGACCCCTTCTCTCTCTCTCACTCACTCACACACTGTTATTTTTCCTGGTGGTGGATCAGACTAATTTGTGTGTTTAAAATGTAGAATCCATTAATTCCAATGAAACATTTTATTTTGTGTCCTTGAATTTTGCTGTAATGGTTGCAGACAGGCTAATGGATGGTAGAGGGTGTTTGAGATGTTTCCTGTTTGTGTCCCTGGTTCCAGTCCTGTATACTCACTGCTGTGGTTGTTGTCTCCCTCCCAGGTGTGACCATGGCCTATGTGAACCCCAGCCTGTCTGTCCACAAGACCACCACCTCAGCCAACCTGGAGCGCCAGAGAGAGTACCTCCTGGACATGATCCCCTCCCGCTCCATCTCCCAGACAGCCAACACATGGAAATAATACTACCACCTCAATCAACCCTTATTTTTAATCTGAATAATAGTCATTCTCATTATCAATTTAACAAAAGACTCCTCTCGGGAAAACAACATCACAATCTACCATCGACCAATGAAATAAAAACTAAACGCACCTCTCCTTACGTTCCCTCCCTCCGTCATCTTCCTGTGAGTCTTCAGTTCTAGTGTGGAGCGCTGGTGTTGTACTGGGAGAGTACAGGGCTCTGAGATATGCTACATCCAAAAGGGTGGCATGGACTTAATCTATCTCAAACATTTCTGGTGCCCCCCTTCCCTTCCTGGGCAGATCTTCACACATTCGCACCGAGAGGGAGGGATGTCCCAGTCCAGCTGTGTCGGTGGCTCTGATTGGCTATCCAGGCGATGGGACAGTCAACATCGTCCACTGTGAATGATGCGCCTTACTTCACCCCCCCCTTCTACCTGGGAGAGCCAGGACCGGGTCTCTCTCTGGCCTCAGTGGCAGGGCTGGTGGCACAAGACTGCAGACAGACAGACGTCATGGCAGGGACTGTGGGTGACACCTCGATCACACCGACAGCTTTATTGCATTTTGGTACACCAGAAGTACATTCATTTCCAATGGAACGCTGCGTTTGCTTTGCAGCGTTGCAGAGGCAGTTGCAGTGCGTTCTGTGTGGTGCATATGTTGGATTTATCGAACGTATGCGTCAAACTGTATGTGTAAACGAGTTGACAGAAATGCTAGCAGAAGGTGAATGTTGAATTCTTGTTGCACACATATACAGATGATGCTGTGTACTATTTTGCGCAATGACACTATCGGTGTGATCAAGGCGTGAGCCTAGAGGACCATCCAAGGAATACTAAAATAGCTTCAGCTTTGCAAAAATAAAAAAGAGTGTTCAATAAAATATCTATCCACACACAGACTGCCCCGTCTTTGAACCGACGATGTGCAGAACAGAGGAGCAGCCGGAGTGTGTGTGATTATTTTGTATGGCTGAATGTTAGAATATTTGTTTTTTGTTTTTTTGTAAGTCAAAAGAGATTGTGCTCCCTTCTATTTTGGAACTGGACTCTTTCGTGGAGGTCTCTGTTTGAAAGGTAATGTTACTGTTGAGGTGGTTTTACATCTGTTGGTTAAGTGTTTCATTTTGAAAGACTTGTTTTCTAAGCTGAAAAAGGATTAAATAACTAACTTGACTTAATATGTACAAACACGGAACACATTGTGGGAGGACTATTCTTGTAAATGGTTTTAAAAAATTGAGCTTTCCAAAGAAATAGTGCAGCCCAAATGGATCCTTTTTTTTTTACTCTTGTTTTAAACCCTTGATGTTAAAAATAAAGAGAGGATGTGCTTTTTTTCTGAAATGCAAAAAGGGGAGGGGTAAGGGACTTCATCTTATGAAGCCATTTTGCTATTAGTCATAGGTTGTGGGGCATTACTTTTCTTATAGGCAAACGCTGTCTCTGGGTATATTTATAGGGTCACTAGTTAAGATGTATGCTTATGCCCTCAGTTCCAATGGATCTCCACTCTAGATGATTTTCTTGTGTGTCTAGTGGTTTCTACACGCTCAATCATTGGTCTAAAAAGCTGGACAGCTTTCAGAATGTAGTTATGCGAAACCCTAGCGACATTAAATACTTTTATTTGTGTATTCTTTTACAAGGGAGAGTGTATGAGTTATGTAAGATCCCTTAATTAGCTAGCTAGCTAGCCCATCTGGTGGAAAGGCCAGCGGTATTGCATTTATATAGGTGGTGCAGTACAGGGTGAGAAAGTGTTGAAATATGCACCATGCTTACAAAGCTCCCTCTCAGAAGGAATAAGACAGTGCTGTGTCAGTATGAGGTCGAGCTTCTGTATCCAAACATGGTTCAGAGTTACACAACAGTTCAGTGGCCTAATAGAAATTAAACTAAAAGGAAATGATCAAACAATGCTTTGAATTTAGGTTCTATCTCAATGTCTTGTGCCGCCACATTCATTTTTCTTCCTCCAACAAATGTAGAGTACATGCTTTCTCCTGATAATACGTTTTGATAGCCATGTGTGGTGTTCCAGACCTCCAGATAAACCAAGTGTGTTTGTGTTAACAATGAGACACCGTAAGTGTTAATTAATAAAGTGCTGGTTCATACAGTAACTTCCCAGCTTTTCCTTTTCATATGAATCCCATTGTTTTCTGTAACCACCAAGCTATTTGGCTGATCTCTCATTGTTATAGTTTTGGTTTTAAAAAATTATTCATAGCTGCCGTATTATTAGATTTCATCTCTAATAATGCCACATTTGCCATATAGTGCACTGCTTAATAGGGCTCTGGGTAATAGCACTTCACTATATGAGGAATAGTGTGTCATTTGAGATTTGCCTGTTGTCCATCTCATGGAGCCCTGCTCAGAGCCATGATGGCCGATGGTTGGGGTCCTTGGCCTGCGTTCCAGGCATAGAGAAGGATCGAGGCCTCTAGTTACCAAAAGGCTGTATTAGCATGCGCAGCGCCATTGAGGGCTTCCACCATTTTTATGTAGTCAATTCGGTGGGACTTCCAACTTCATTGGCTGATTCCTCCTGGTGACACTTTTGGAGTCATGTCCAACCGGGGCATCAGGAGGGATCAGCCAATTGTGAAGAAGAAAATTGACTACTTCAAAATGGAGATGGCCTCAATGGTGCTGCCCATGCTGACAGACGCTATAATGGAACAGATATAAAGTCCTCTGTCTATCTCTGTGGTTCCAGGATGCTGGTGCAGCAGCCATTAGTGTGCTGTCCTGACTACTGCCTGCTGCTGTTTGACAACTAACACCATTCCGTTTTACCTGGGGTGCTAGCACTGTTTACTGTGTAGCACCTCACCCTAAAAAAAACAAATGTTCCTATTTGTTTAGAATTGTTTTCTTGCTCTATCAAGTAAAAAATAAACACATTTTAACCCGTTTTCCTTTTTACTCCAGGGTTTATTATTGTTATAGATGGTATAATGTTGATTTGAATGACTTTTCCTGACTTTATGGGTTAATGATTTTTGTAGGCCTATACAAAAACGACTTGGATTACCTTGTAGTTTATTATAACATGATCAGGCTTATTGCCCTGACCTTTTTAAATGGCTTTGAAAAGGTCATCAGGGATTTAGGATTTTTTATACCACTAACAAATACATCATCATTGAAATAGCCCAATATTTACCATAGATTTTTTAAATGATTAGTGATCAGATGTTTGGGTCTTAGTTAATTTCAAACAATATATGGAAAAGGGCATAACGAAAACAATTGTACTATCTTGGAAATCCATCAAATAGGTGCAGCAGCACATCTATTCATAAATGATCTAAAGGCATGATTTAGAATTCAGCATAGAATGTACCTTTTCCATCAATAGGAAGACCGCATAGGCCTGCATAAAATCCTCGTTTTGACCTTTGCGCTCAAAATATTGTTGATCACCTTCTTCAGGATAAGTAATGCTGGGAGGGAGTTTGGTTAGAAGTTAGTGTATACATTTCTCCCACTCTTCTCTTCTCCCGGGATAGATTCACCCCCAGGCCTCTTCGGGGATTTTGAGAGCGCAGCGTTGTACTGCGCCAGTTTGGAGAGGTACGCGTTGGCCGTCCGGTCATGCCGCTCCAAAGCAGAGTATCTTTCCACCTCGATTGCTTTGATGCTCAAGTCACATGCCGTGCGTTCTCTGGTTCGCTTTGTGAGCATATTTCTGCCTAAAGGTAAGAGACCTGCGTCTCTCTGTGCTCGACATTTTGAAGCTGTGGAAGTGGTGTGTGTGCCTGTGTAGACAGCGGGCCAGTGCATCTAACTGTCAAATCCTTTTGTTTACACCTGTAAATCAAACCTTCAGATATTGTTACCATGGAATTAGACCGTTATCTGTTTCAACAGGACAGTTGCCAGGTTAACGATCAGTGAACTGTTTGCTCCATGTGTGTTGATTATGAATGGCAGAAAAATGGCCTACAGTCCTACAAACTATTGCATGTTTTACTTTTAGATTGCAGCGTTGTTAGTCTCCCAAGAATCTACTTATAGTCTTCTATTGTTCAAGAGATTTATAAAATCACTGTTCATGATGAATAGGTTACATGTGGATAGCATATTATGAATAGGCTATACCTACAATATTTCCAACAGCTGACCCCTAATAACTTTTATTAGCCTAAATGGGGAACAAATAAAAGTGATCTGATTTTCAGTTGCACATGATTTAATCACTCACATTGTCCTGGCCTATTGCAACCAAGACTGCTCTGCCACCTGTTGGATTGTTGGGCGGTTAGAAGGGCTGAACTGCATCAGATAGGCAATTAACTGCTGGCATGGCTCTTCCACTGTGACGTCGTCCGGGTAGACCAAGGCCTTTCGCTGAGCGCGCGGGAGTTTGCTGACATTGGAATCATCGAACGGCATACACCCAGTGACCATGACATAGAGAATCACACCCAAGCTCCACACATCATATTTCTTGGGGTCATATGGAACTCCGAGGAGTACCTCCGGTGGGGCGTAGGCCGCTGAACCACAGTAGGTCCTGCTCAGCTCAGGGTAGCCCATAGCAAACCTCCCAAAACCAAAGTCTGTGATCTTCACCTGGTTGTCCCTAGTCAGCAACACATTCTCACATTTCATGTCTCGATGGACGATGTTGTTTTGATGGAGATAGTTCACAGCGCTGACAATCTGGGAGAACATGGTCTTGGCTTGGGCCATGGGGATGGAATTGACCTCTTGGATTTTTTGGAGAAGATCAGTCGCTGCAGCCTCCATCACGATGTATAGTCGGCCGTTGCAAACCTCTATGAATTCGTGTACATGGACAATATTGTCATGTCTCACTCCCCTCAAAAGTGTCAGCTCCCTAGGTAGAAACTTGTGGACGAAGTCATGGGGAGCCTTTTTGCGGTCCACAATTTTTATGGCCACCTCAGAATTGTGTTTCTGGGAGCTGGCCAATTTGACTTTGGAGTAGCTTCCCTCACCGATTGTTGCTCCCAACTTGTAGCCCATCTCGCGCAGAACTTTCTCTGTGTACATTTTCAAAAAGGTATGGTTGACTTACTGCTCTTCAAAATGTGTCTGGCTGCTGCTCCATCAGGGCATAAACCCCCAGTGGTCACAAGCTCTTCGACCAATTTGACGAACGTTTGGGATGTTTCTCAGGTGGCGGTGACAACGTTGTGATAATACTAGATACACTTATTGATAAGGACACGGGCGTGTTAGCGCTTGCATTATGACGACATTGTGACAACCTGACCGCATCCTGAGGGTCGCTAAGCTTCAGTGGCAGGCCTAGGCTACTGTAGTCCTCTCTTACAATTAATCATAACATGAATATACTACTGTATCTGAACAATAACTACATTTCTATCACCTTATTTGGCCTATTTAGCTGTATGAAATTAAACAAAATGACAATCCTAGTCCATCATCTAGAGTAGATTCCCGATAATTGGATACTGTTGTTGGCTGTAATGTCTTCATATGACCTCAGGATGGCAGACTGCACCAAGAATCTCCTTCGCCTCATCCACGTCTATCTCTCTCAATATACTGGTACAGCTGTATGTGGTTCCTTTTT